ATAATTTCTCTTGGTTCTCTGGAATTTTAACATTTAGAAGGATGGTGACCTTTTGTGATCCCTGATTGGTGTGTATCGCAGCAAAGAATGGCAAAATACCTTCAAAGATGCCATGTCCCCAGCAGAGGACATTCCCCCTCCTCCTGCTTAAGAGGTCAAGTCTCATAGTCAGGTGTAGCTCCTGTTTTGAACTTATAGCTAAAAAGTCAGAAAATCTCACGTAAAGAAGCACAGGAAGAAAAATAGAAACTGTACAAAGATGAGGGGAACTACCAAACTGGTGCCTGAGGCATGAAACTAATCCATTGTAAGTCTGAACTGATAAGAGAATTTTTGCATGAATTCCAAAAACAAGAGTAGATAGATGGCTGGGAGGAAAATGTACCTCTAGGGTATTCTGACTTTATGGAACTTAGGTAGTCCCAAGATTTCTACTCCTTACAACTGCACTGAGGGATTTAATATTCCACATTTTTTATAGTTAAACCAGCAACACCAAGTAAAACAAAAGTTTTCGTACAACTATTAATTTCTTTTCCAGGAATTAATTCAGTTTCTGCTTGGACCAATTAATGAAACTGCACAGCAAATTAAATTTGTTTTTCAATGCTGAGTAGGAACAATGCAAACTAAAAAGACCACACTGACTGAGGCAGTCAGTCTCTGGATACTTTTTCTTTGCTACGTATTTTTCAACAATGTGATGAAAACTTATTTATGTTAGTTTTCTAACTTAAAAATATATTCATAGTCAATAGGAACACTATGACTCATGACAAAGCAAGGTGGACATGACCTTGCCCACACTGCATCCATTTAGAGTACTTACTGTGTTCATTTTTAATGTTTAGTCTTCCTCTATAACTGGCCCTTTTGTGATGTCTAATAAAATGAATAATATAAAATATTTCTCCTTTGTAGTTCTTCAAAGATGTAAACAATTCCATTACTCTCTGCTGTAGTTAGGTCAATGCTCCAATATCCACATGGTAGAACAGAGCAGGCAGAGCACCAGAAGCTGAGCTGTGATGTGTCCAGGACTGCCATGATTACAACCTATGTGCCAGCAGGCTGATACCACAGGTAGGAGCAGCAAGGTCAGTGTGATTTAATGCCAGCCCAGTTCTGACCTCAGCTGACAGACAAAACCTGTATTGGAGATGTAACAGGACTCATTGGATCCATCAGTTGGATCTCTTGTTCATCTTTTAGAAATGAAAGCTGAAATCCACTGTTACCCTTTTAAGGCAGATCCAATAATATTGGTATTTTTTGTAATGATTTAATTCCAGTATTTTGTGGAAGAGAGAGAAGGATAGGAAGCTTGCTTACCTTGCAGTGCACCCAGGAAGAGAGCATGTAATCTGGCAGCACTCAATGGTCTACACTGGCCTTGTTTGGAAGGCTTTGAAAAAGTCCTGTAATGTGGTTTTGAAAGGAGAGATGCTTCAGAATAGTCTTCTTAAGGGTGTCTGAAACCAACCTCATTGCACCCTTTTCTCTACTCACTGCAGCACCAGTCACTAAACCTTGGCAAACACCAAAGTGCTTTTTCAGCACAAAGTCAGCTTTGATGTGTGTAACGTGAGTGATCATATGATTAATTTTGTTGTTATATAATTCATGTCTCTCTTTGGAGACAAATATCTTGCATTTTTAACAGTTATTTGAATGCTGTGCATAATTCTTTGTCAGGGAAGCAGTTGATCCTGGCCAAGTTTGAATTGGAACTTCCCAGAGGTATAATCCAAATCTGTATTTCCATATATATTAATAAACTATGTAATACTTGCAGCAACTCACCTAATACCATTTTGAAATGAGATAGAACTCATTATCAGCACAATGAGGAGCACAGACTCTTCCTTGTCAGAAATAATGGAGTGAGATTACACAATTACTTTCTCTCACTGTCTCTTTAGTCATTTATGTAACAAGGTGTGTGTAAAGGTTTCTTGGCTTGTGCTGTAGGGGGACATACACTGGTCCCAGCCAATTCTTATGGTTGCAAGCAGGAGGAGTATATAAATAAATCCTTTAATTCTGTCTGGTTTCATGATGTAGCATCAGCAACATTTTGCATTGCACAAGTCTAAATGGAGCTTCAGCTTGTTGCTACCTGAGGGTAGGGGATGCCATGTTTGAAATCTGTCATCCTGATTTTGGACTTTGGCTCTGGATAAGAGTCTGAAGTGATTCCTTTCTCTTTGTACCACAGAGAATTTTGGTCTGTATTGGAGGGGACAGTCCTAAGCTGTGCCAAGGGAGGTTTAGTTTAGACATTAGGAAGAAGTTCTACACAGAAAGAGTGATTAGACACGGGAATGGGCTCCCCAGGGAAGTGGTGGAGGCACCATCCCTGGAGGTGTTTAAGGAAAGACTGGATGTGGCTCTCAGAGCCATGGTCTGGTTGGCAAGGCAGTATTGGGTCATAGGTTGGGCTCGATGATCTCAGAGGTCTTTTCTAACCTAGTTGATTCTGTGATACTGGGATGTGAGCTTGGCACTCCACCTTGTGTGAGGCTGGCATGTACTAGTCAGGCTCTGCTCAGAAACCTGCTGCCAACACTCAGGGATTGCTACCAGAGTAAGTAATAAACCTAAGCCTTTTGTGATCCTGGTCAATGACCAGGGTCCTGATTCAAGAATTAGAGACTAGTCTTCTTCTGCTTGGGGTTTACAGTGCTTAACCATCAGCTGCAGGTTGGCTCCTACACTCAAAGAAGAATGAACTCTGTTTTGAATGTGGCTGAGAAGGGGGAAATGGTGTCCTGCTGCTTTTTCTAGTAGCTGAGCAGAGGATGTAAAAAAGCAAGACCAGATCTACTTCAACTGTGAAACAGAACAGAAAGTTCTGTCCCTGTCTGTAACTGCAACCTCCCTCTGACCTGGCTATAGGACTGTTTATTGTGGAGGAAGTGTAGGAAGCAGGTAGGAGGTTTGCATCTGTGATACTGAAAGGAACTCAGTAAAGAAGAAAAAAAATTGAGGGAAGGGAAAGAAAGGACGTGATTTAATTGTTTAATAAGACAGTGCATTTAGACACCAGACATATTTTGAAAGTTTTTATTTCTGGAATATAAGATGAAGCAGTTTGGCAAAAAAAACTCGTGCTTAATATAAATGCAGTTCTGTGTATTCTTAGGAAAATAAGAATACAGGTCACCTTCGTGGAATTTGTGCAAGTCATTCTGGAACAGAATCTGTCTTACACTGTGTGGTTTAAACACCTTCAAACTGCAGTGAAGTAAATGCACTAATTAAATAGTGTAACCCGTTAAGAATTCTAATACTGGAAACTTGGCAGAATGAAATTATATTTGCTAAAAGTGATTTATCCAATGGACTTAAGGCAGGAAACAGACTCCCCACCTGCATCCTTCAGCATTTTTGGATAGTAATCTTCTTCAAATAATTTGACAGACCCTTTTTGTAGTCCAGTGTCAGAGGATTATATTATTTTCAGAACAATTTATGAAAGATTAGTAGAGGCATAGTTAATCATTTCAACTAGCTACAGTTTTTTTATAAATATTCAAATTAATGAGTTCTACCTTTTGATCTTTCTGCCTGCAAATCCCTCTGGAATTGATGCCAATTAGGATTTGGTAATAACTTGGTTATGAACAGGGACCAGTGTGTGCATGTGTGGCATGCCTGTGTGCACATGTTTACACGTGTGGGTAGGTGTCAGTGCCCCTGGAGAATGGTACATGATCAATTAGACCTGTTCAGGGGGACATCTCCACTCAGAGAGGAAATGGAATAAAAATGCAAGGACAACAGTAAGCAAAGGTTCTGCTTTATCATGCACAAAGTTGTGCACTGCTTGTTGCCAGTCTGATGCTTTTAGGACAATTACATACAGCTTGTACTCTTCACACTAATAAGAAATGTTCTTGTTTTTAAAAAAGGAAATGCATTCCAGCACCAAATAAATGGCACCAGTCCAAGGCAACATGGAATAAGAAACTTTCAGAGAAGCACACTGACCCTGCTTAGAGCTTCACTCTGTGTGAAGGGGAAACAGGAGCTAAGTGGGGTTTCCTGGGACTTACCAGTTCTTGTACTAACACTTTTATGTGCCCACAGTGGAATCATTTCAAACCTTGTTGCAAACAGGGCCATGCTGACCTGTGTGTGTTGCTGAGTTTCTTTGCATAGTCACTGAATTGCCTTAATTGAAATGTGTAGTAGGTTTACAGTATAAGCACCAGTAAGAGCTGTTTTTCAGAACTGATAAACCTGCATGAGTAGGGCAGGAACAATACCAGGTTCTCAGTTCTGCCACCCACAGTAAATTTGGTATGATGACACTTGTTTCAACTGAAATTTCCTTCTTCTATACCTACATTTCTGAATGGTTGGAGGTTATTTTTTTGCTGGTGTCCCACAGCCTATGGCCTTTTCGTCTCCTACATTTGTAACTTAATACTCTGAAATCACTTGTGTTGCAGCTTTATACGGATTTCATGAGATGTTAATGTTCAGTTTCCTGTAACCAAGTAATTTTTACCATTCTCTAATATCAAGAGAAATGATTGATTGGACCCCAAAAGCCTTGTTTTCCAAGCTGCATGAGTATCTGTACTCAAAGATGAGTGTCAGGGAGCGTGAATCAAAACACAGTGTTGTATTTCTAAAACATTATTCTTTGCCCAACTCACAGTCTCCTGTCCTCCTGAAAATTCAGTTCTGATTTCAGATGTTTGAAATTTATTCTATAGACAATTTCTAGTCACAATGGTATGAAATCTGACAAACTTTTCTCAGTTTCTTCTTGTAAAGTTTTGAGTGCATAGCAGTGTATCTGTATCTCAGTTGTTGGCCTATATTGAAAAATAGACCTCTCATAGTCATCTTGTTTTAAGAAAAGGGCATTGCTCATTCTCAGATTTAAAAGTAGGATCTGCTCATCAGAGGCAGAAGTGAGACCCTGGTTCCAGGTACAGTTCAGGCAAAGGTGGATAATTTACTTATATTTGTGCTTTCTCTTACAGCATAGGTGGAGAAGTAGCAAGAGGAAATGAAGGCAGCTACGTGGGGAAACATTTCCGCATGGGATTTATGACAATGCCGGCTCCTCAGGACAGACTGCCTCATCCTTGCTCCAGTGGCTTTACCGTGAGATCCCAGTCTCTTCATTCTGTTGGAGGAACTGATGATGAAAGTAGCAGCTCTCGTAAGCAGCCACCTCCAAAACCGAAGCGAGACCCCAACACCAAACTCAGCACCTCATCTGAAACAGTCAACACAGGAACAACAAGTAAAAGTGGGAAACTACCTGACCGGACTGAAGGTAAACAGTGTAATTCTTTGGAAAAAAAGGGGTTTGGTGAACCACTGTTAAGATCATCCAGCTGATAATTTTGCATTTAAGAATTGTGTGTCAGTGCCAGCACAGGTATCCTAGATCACTGTTGTCTAAATTTTGGACCAGTGGATAGTTTTGCCTTTGACATGTCATAGAACTGTACCACTTACATGGTCTGATTGTATACTGGGAAATGAGTTGAGTTTATTCAAAATGAAGAGAAAGAGAGATTGCCATCAGTTGGCATGTAGGATAATGTTATCTGCCCACCAGCCAAGGTACACTGACCATATCACTAGCACTGTGCAAACCACAGCTCTGGAAAGGGTCCTCCTTAACAAAGGAGTGAAGAACAGAAATTACTGAAAAGGATACTGCATGGCCCTGAAACTCCACAGCAAGGAAATATCATCCAACAGTAAAAATTGTACCTGGGATGATATAATGTATTGCCCAAAGCTTCTGTTTGTGTCTGAGTCTACATTTTCCTCTTCCCATTCCTCCCAGTTACTTTTCAACCAGTGCAGCATTCAGAAGAAAATTAACAAATGGACGGAATAAGGATATTGCTTCCTTACTCTGAATTACTGAAGATGAGCTAACGCTATAGACATCCTCTCCTTCCTTTCTTCCATGCTGGAAATGTATTCTGTGCAGCAGTAGGACCAGCTGTGCTCCCTCCTAGGAGCTATCAGGATACTCTTTCTCACAGTGTGAATGGTTTTGGTCAGTGCTGGTCTTTCCCACTGCTGTGTTAAATATCAGTTTTGACATCCCACGCAGTACATTGTGCTCTTAGCACATATTCCTTTTGCTTGGTGGTGTGGCCAGAAATACTTCTTAGCTATATCTGTGTTATGACCCCTTTTAAGCAAATCTGATTTTAAAAAGTTCTCAGTTATAACAAAGTTGCAAATGAATGTGTAATTCAACTGGTGACACGTAAGTCTATGACTGTGAAATTGAACACAAATGCTGAAAAGAACTGTGGCTTTATTTATGCTGTTGGTAGTTGTTTTGCATGTGACATTTACCATTACTTCCATAGCTTGTCCTCTACAGTGACTACTACATCAGCTCCACTGCAGACTAACACAGCAAATGCAAGCATTAAGTAGCTGTCCTTAATAAAAACAGTTTAGCAGAATTTCACTGGACCAAAACACTCACAGAAAAGATTCAGATTTGAACCGCACACAGATTTAAATTTTCATATCAGGAAGTCTTTCAATTCTTTAACTTAATACACAAGGAGAATGGATGGCACAAACTTCACGATATTTGAGTCCAAGGAAAGAATATGTAGTTATGTCCCTTCTGACAGATTTCAAATTTTGGAATTGGTTGACATTTCTGTTTCTAAAACCACTTTGCATCCTCCACACCGAGCTTGATCTATCCCATCACTTGGTGGTTATGAGTGACATGCGTGGTACTGTAGCCATGTTCACTTTGGTTAATCTGTATGGCAGTGGTACTACTGTACCAGAGAGCTAAGTATTGCAGAGTGCCTTGAATTTGTTATTGTAATCACGAGCTGAATATTCATAGCAAGATCTCTGGAAAGAACTGATGAATGAGTAATACTGCATCATTAGCATAGAAGATAATACCTAAATGTTACCTTTCAGTGTGACTAAATGCCTTCATGGAACATTGGAATCTCTATGGTGCTTAATATATGATTTGTATTGTATTCATTCTGCTGCTTTGTATGTGGAGCAACAAAGGGTACTTTTAGGCAAAAATGATGATGTTCCTGGAGATTTTGAATTGGCACACTGTTGTTTTCATGTGTTCAAAATGTCTGCCCTGTTTCTGTGTCTTTGGTTACAGGGGTTTCACCAAAGAGTTTAATATACAGTAAGATCAGATTGTAGGGTTGTTTTTTAAGTAAGCAGTCAAATTTTTAAGACTGAGATATACTCACGGATGGTACAACATGATGTTTGGATGAACAGGCTGGATTTCTGAGATGTTTTGCTGTCACTAGGAGAGGCTTTGTTATCACCTGTGCACTCCAATGTAACACGTTGTTTTGATGAAAGAATTTTCGCATTCATCTGGCTAGCATAGGAATGTTTGTATAAAGACTATGGTCATACACTGATGAGAACATCTAAAGATGAGCAGAACTAGATGAAAGTCAAAGTTCGTATCTGCGATATCGATTGATAAAATTCTAAACAAGCTTTGACACCAAATTCGAAATTGTTAGTGTTGCTCTAAAATTAATTCCTAGCAAATTTAGTATCTGGAATTGTGGCTAGCTTAGAGAATCGCATGAAACTTGGATTCTGCTAGTCTTTTTTTATGAGCAAAGGTTATGTTTTTCTCTATGTAGCAGTATCTTTCCAATTTCAGGTGAGACAGTCCATAGGATACAATATTCATGTTCTCCTTGGGAGGTCTTTGAAAGCTCAAGTCCAAGAACGCACAGGTTTAACTTTCAGTCAGTGCTGTCCATCTTGTACCCAAATATTTACATATGCATGTCTCACACATTTGCATGTATTTGTGGTATTTGCAGGCTGAATGACTACAGCTTTTCCAGGAACTGTGGAAAATAATGATGAAACCCCTGTTGTTTCTCCATCAACTACTGTGGAATCTCTACAAAGGAGTTGTCACAAAATTGTTCCCAGCTCCATTTTTTTATGACAATGCAGAGTAATTCAGACTATAATGTCTATTGTCTGACCCTGTGGCTACTTTGAAAAGTAGTTTGCTGCATTTTCTAGACAACCAGGGACAGTCTTACCACTCATTTTTATTAAACATGTTTACTTTTTGCTTTTTGATAATGTTTATAGAAAAAAAAACCCAAACAGCTACTGATAGTAAATTTGATTCTTTTTCTCATCATGGTAAAGTCAAAATATTGAATTCATCCCATCATAATAACTGCCATAATATTAGATTGGTTTGATTATAAGTCTGCCTTTACTGCAGAAGGGGCAGAAAAAATTTGGTCGTGAGCTTGAAAGACCTCTTTTCTTCCTGAAGCACAAATAGCGTCAGTGACGCCCACACCAGTCCTGCACACTTTTCCTGTAAATGCTTTTGCTTCCATATTTGTGGGAGTGTGAGAATCTTTTAGGCTGCAGTGACACATATTAACCCTGTCTCATCGTGCAGCAGCGGGATAACACCTTGGTTTCTATGTTTCATCCCAGCCTACCTTGGCTCTGCCTGAAAGAGCACTCTCCAGCCCCAAGGCCTCATTCTCCTTAACTTGACTTTGCTGCTGTGTTTCCACGCTTTGTGTCCCTTCCTGTGCTTCAATATTCCATTTTTTTACTCCTCTGGCTCCCTCTCGTATGCACCCACTGAACGCCTTCCACCCAATGCGTTTCTCCTCCGTGACAGATTTCTAGAAAGTTGTTTTTAAAAATGTAGGTTGTCTTTTCTTCAGAGTTTTCGAACTCTGGTAGGAACAGCAAACAAATGGAGCTGTGCCCCATGCATCACACATTGGAAGTGAGAAGTGAACTGAAAAGGGTAATTTAAAATTACATTTCAGCATGGAAGGCATATCTAATCTTGTTCCTGAAAGGCTCTTTATTGAGAAAAAGCAGGAGCATAATTAATTGATGTGTTTTCAGTGCCCAATCTTACAGAAAAAGGAAGTAATAAAACAGTATAATTGGCCAATGTAACCAGCCTCAAGCAGTGTTTTTGATATGATCACTGCATGTCCACAGGAAAGGCTTACAGATCTGCTGCAGTACAAACATAAATTAGAAAGTATAACTGAATTGCATTTTGAAAGTTAATGTTTTGTTAAAATTCTACTTAGTAATATGGAGGACTACTTTATATAAGTAAATGCACGTAGAATATATGTAATATAATTTAATTTATGTATACGTGATTTACACAAGTATAATGAAAATGCAAGTTGTATGTGCTTACACTGTACATACAAATGTGCACACAAATGCAAATTAAAACTCAGAGTAGCATTTTTAAAATTATGTTCATGGTTGTAATTTTGGTCCTGACAGAGCCAAAGGGAAATATACTTGTGATATGGGAAATACTTGCAGGGGACCCACCTCTTGAATCCATTCAGTTTGTTCAGTATTTTCCTTCCAAGTGTCATGTGGAAGAAGATATCCCTCTTGCTGCTGCCTTCTAAGCCCATACAGTGGGCTCAGCAATTCCTAAAGGTGGGCAACTTGTAAGGAAAACTTTCCTCTGGAGAAAAGTAATTAAGGTAGCTGTAACTGGGGTTGCAGTCCAGCTGGTCTCTCCCATAAATCTAGTTTTCTGTCAGCTAGACTGGTGGCTCTTAATTGTAAACTTGAACTTTTGCTACTCTCATTGAACAGTGCTTGGAGTAAAGGGATTTAACATTTTTGCTCGTTTTGCATAATGCTGGTTTCCTTTTATTTCTTACCTTGGTGAATAATGCATTTAACCTGAACTTTGAAATAGTGTCCTCTGCAGTAACCACGTCATGTCTTTCCTTATAACCAGATCTTATTCCCAGATCTTTTTATCCGTACCTTCTAAAGTGAGAAATACCATTAATGAGCCCTATTCAGACCTAACAAGTCTAAAGGGACTGAAGAGTTCTGGTGGGTTAACCTGCGTGTGGGCAGTTTAAGATGCTACTGCTCTGGGCTATCTGCTTGGTCTCCTGCCTGTATGACAACCCAGGGCTCACATAGCAGAATGCAGTATTTTAGGGACATGTCTTTGAGACACAGGTGCTGCTGCAGGGCAGGAGCTGTACCAGAAGTGGGGCAGGCATGTCTGGTGAGCAGCATCCTGCAGTGAAGTCTGTCAGAGCCCTGAGCAGTGAGTGTGAGACTTGTGCGATGGCTCTTGCGCTGTGCTGCCTCTCAGCGAGGGCCAGGTGCCACTGGGGTCTGCAGTGCTGCTGCGATGCTGGGGTGTGGGCCTGGGAACAGTGGAAGGGCAGGCTGCATGGCTGTGGCAGGACAGGGTGTGCTGCCTCCCGAACCATCCTTGGAGTG